TTAAATAAAAAACATTTGTAACATTATAAATGTCTTTACTGTCACTTTTAATTAATTTATTGCATCCTTGCTGAGTAAAAGTAATCTTATATTATTAGAAAAAATATTACTGACTACAAACTTAACAAGGTAGTGTATAATATTAAATGAAAATGTTTGGGGGTTTTTTCAAAAAATAAGGCTCATTTAAGTACTTTTTCCTTGTTTCAATAGCACAAGGTCATTAAGATTTTTTTTTCTATCGATAGGTGACACTGCTACAAAACCTGCTGATGAGACCCAAAAGCCGGCGTCGTTCCTTGGAGAAGGTGCTTCATTGGTGGACTTGGACTCTCTTATGTCAGTCAAGCCCAAACCTAAACAGCCCCCTCTCAACGCCATCCCCATCCAAAAAGCCCCGGGTAAGGAGGGCTGAGAGAGAAAGAGAGACACATTGACAATAAGAGCAACTGAGAAAGAGAGAGAGAGAGAGAGACGCACTGTATAGTATCTGTTTATTTTTGAGTGTTTGTGACGCAGTGTTTTTCAGGCCTAGAGTTCATATAGTGATGTGGAACATAACCTGTATGTAGTTGATGTAGATCCCACCTCAACCTTTTTTATCCCTGCTTCTATATGCTATCCACTTCCCTTCTCCCTTCCTCCCCATCACCCATCATCCCTTTTTGTTTGCACTGTCAACTGTCATTCTTCCCAGGATTTTTGCCAGCCGCAGGCATGGCCTGGCCATTGGGCGGCAACGTATCCAATGCAAGTGGTTCAACTGCACAGCCTTCAAACCCAAATTATTTTGGTTTTAACTCCATGTCACCCTGTTCCAGTGGCCTGTCCCCCCTAAACAAAGCCTTCGAGGCGCCTGTCGCCCATATGGCATCTCCAACCCAGAATACAAGCCTTTCAACTTTGACAGTGTCCAACATGGGATTTTCCATGGCTAACCCTAGAATGGTACAACCCAGCACTGCAGGCACTCTTATTGGTGAGTTATGTCCTATGTCGCTCACAGGAACGGTTACCCAACAAGCTCCAGTTCTTCAGCGACCTCCATTGGTTTGGGGCACTGGAACTGGGGCGGCTGGGAAAGGCAACAGCATTTTTTGAGTTCTCCATTCAGCATCAATTGATCCCTAGCCTTCTCCTTTCCCCATCCACTTCATCAATCCTTGTTGATTATGTGTATGTATAAATGTGTGCAAATATTTAAATATTAATGAGCAACAATATACTGTAATATATGTTTTGGGGAAAAAAGCATGCATACCCGGCCTTTCCAATATGATGGACTGAGAAATGGAAGCAGGTGAGGTTTTAGAATCCATAAGGGTGTCATTCTCAAAGGTTTTAGGAAAGCTGTCATATCTACTGGAGCAGATTTTAGATATACACTGCTGTTTAAAAGATTGGGGTCAGTATAGTCTCAGCCTCAGACGTCACGCCCACGGACCGTTGGCTAAACGTCTGATGCATATGGGACACAAAAGTGGAAACACTTCAGGAGTTTCAAAGTCATCATGGGATTGGTTGAATTCTACAGGATTTCCGGGAGACATGTGTGTCGCGTTCTTTAACGTTCCGCCTGGAAACAAAGATGCTGTGATGTCAAACCCCCTCACGAAAGAAGAAAGCCGTAGTGTTTCCAACTGTGATGACGAGCGCTTATCAGGATCAACTAAATGCTGGAGTTTCAATAGTATGTGAAATATTTAAAGTTCATGGCATAGAATCTTTAAAATACGTCCGAGAGTTTTACACACCGGTCTGTTATTGTGGCGACATTTTCACGGCCTGAAACGTGACAATGAACGAAACGAACTGTGATTGGTTGTTTGACATGTCGGTCAAACGGCCTCATGGGCGAGCCTTGGCCAATGAAAGCTGCCATGGATTCCAGACCTTCAGCCGTCAGTCTGAAGGTCTGGCTACGCGAGACTAGGGTCAGTATTATATATATATATATATATATATATATATATATATATATATATTTATTTATATATTATACTTTTGTTCAGCAAGGATGCATTTAATTGATCAAAAGTGACAGTAAAGACTTACATTGATACAAAAGATTATTTCAAATAAATATTCATTAAATAATCATTTAAAATGAATGTTGTACTTTCTGTTAAAAAAAAACTAAAATATTAAGCAGCACAGCTGTTTTCAATATTGATATTAAGAAGAAATATTCATATTTATTTTTATTAAGAAAATATTTTTTTTATTAAATAAATGCAGCCTTGGTGAGCATAAGAGACAAAAACATTAAAATATCTCACTGTCCCCAAACAGATCTTTAAGCAGTAGTGTATACTTCTCCGATAACATACCTGGATAAACATCTAGCTTGCTTTAAAGAGTGAACAATCAGACGTTCCAAGAAAGCCGCCAAGTAAGAGACACAGATGTATTTGATTTGCATTTAATTTGTATAACCTGCATTGAATATACAGTATTTGTTGTTGTTGTTTTATTTGCTTTCTATTGCATCACTGTCCGTAAAAGTTTCCATAAGCATTTTTCTGTATAACACACAGAATTATGCATATTGGAAAATCTAAATGTGGCTTGTAGTGATTAATATGATAAGAAACATTCCAGTCATAAACATTTTAATGCATTAGTTGGGTTATGTTATATGAAGAGGTATGGGATGTATAAAAAATGTGAGGGTCCTAATACTTGATGACCACATTGCTTTTTACTTACTTGCTTATTTATTGATTGATGGATTGTTTTTAAATGTTTGAATATGTTGTTTGGCTTGGAATGGATCTATTCTATGATAAATATCAAAACAAATCTGCTGAAGGCAGCAAGTGACGATCATGCACAATGCTTGTTGTCAATTGTTTACTGCAGTAAATTAACAATAAGAGGATTGGTGAAGAGAAAGATAAAACCTTTGAATACTGATCGAAAGATGAAAAATGGTTTATTAAGATGCGTCACACATTTATTTTTTATTAGTGTAGATTTTATTTATTTATTTATTTCAGACTGGTGTTTTGGTCCTGATATTTATGCCATTCTATCAGAATTATACTGCTATTCTGTCAATGAAAAAGGTATTGGAAGATAAGCAAAATCATCATAATTAGAATTCAAAAATGTATGAAGAAAGCATACTTTTCCATATTGACTATAATTATAGGTTCAGTTACAGTTTTATTTTTTATTAGGAATATATTTATTTATTTAATCAGCTATGGTAAACCTGTGGTGTTACCTGTGAACGTGCTCAATTCAAGAATAAAGTGACGATCATTGAAAAGTGTATCCTTCATTCTAGTGACTTTATTATTTATGTTATAGCATGTCCGAGGTTCAATATAATATTTACATTTAATTAGCAGACACTTTTATCCAAAAGTGGCTTTAAAAAATAGGCAAAGCTTTACAGTTTTTATACAGGAGCATGTCGATTATCCACAGAAAATCATTCTGAAAACCTTGAGGGAGAGCCCAGCAGAGTTATGCCATTGCACTACTGTGTTTTAAACAGCAGGGGGATCAGTGCAGGAATATATGTCCAGACCCACCACTGTGTTCACAAAGATGCAAAGGCTTGCAGCTAAGGTTTCAGGGGGAAAAAAGCACAATACAATTGGATTTTTTAAATTGCTAAATTATTCAGAGTGATTTCCTGCAGGCAAACTGCATTATTGTAATGTCATTTCTTGGCACTGAAACTGCAACAACTGGGTTAGCAGCAGCACATATTCTTTTAACCATTAAGCTACTGTATCCCTTAACCGATGAAAAAGATAGCATTTCTAGGCACTTCTGTAGTTAAATTGCTTAGTTTTGGGTGCAGTCCAGAACAATACAATGTAATCTGTAAAGCTCTTAAGATTATAGAAAGGACGAAATACATGTGCTTAGGAATACTTGACACTGTGTACATCTAAAGAGAACCATTTAATTCAACAGTCCCACATGGAGGAGATGAATGTAACCTGGTTGTAGGCGAAGAGAGAGAGAGAAAGATTTAAATGGAAATATAGAAAGAGGCAGAATCGAAGGAACAGATGGACTTGGGCGGATTAAGTGAAATCTGGGTGGGTTTGTCATAAACATTCACTCGAGGTTGAGAATGAATAAAAGAAAACACACCATGAGAGACAGTGAGGTAATAAAAGTGAAACGGAGGTGAAGTGTCTTTACGGCTGAAGGTGGGTTGCATTTTCTTTTTTCTGTCTAAATGATATTTTTTGATAATGCATAAAATAGTTTGTAGGAAATTTAATACCAATTTGACCACTTTTGTGTGTGCGCATTTTGCCTTTACTTTTTAACAATTATTTAAAAAAAAATAATAATAGAAGTGGCATATATGCACCACATATATCTGCAAATATGGTGATGTAATGCTATTGTTTCCTCATGTGATCAATTATTTAAACATCTGTGTGAAATGTTTCTTTTAAATTTTCTGTATATATATATATATATATATATATACTGTATATTGTAAATATTCAATATATATATATATATATATATGTATTATAATTTTATTTAAATTATAATATTTAAATTATTATTATATTTATAGATCAGACTCAAATATCTACATTTAAATCTACTTCATAATACTTAATCTGGTTTGATGCTTAGGTGTCTGGGGGGCTCTGGGCGGACCAGGAGTGACAGATGTACCTTTCCCCCAAAGATCATGAAGAGATCATGAAGGATTACAAAGAAAGGATTACAAAGAAATGGATGTTGGTGATTAAGACATACAATAAGAACGAAATTCTCAGAAAATCTCAGTAAATCTCTCCAAGAGACCAGGTGAGAGATGGGCAAAATCAAAGAGAAGAACAAGGTCGTTCTTGATTGACTGCACGACTTAAGACCAATTTCATCTATGTGCTGAGCTGAAGAACATGCATCTGGGAAACACCTCTGAATGCTCAGCATGAAGATTCGTGATCATCAGCCTCATCTCCATTGACTTTGAGGACGTATTGGTCACATTGGCTGGTCGTAGACAAAGGGAACATGTTTAACACCTTCTGAGCCATTTCTGCATTTCACCCAGGACATTTTTAAATGGAAACCTAAGGCACTGGCAAGTGTGTTTTCACATGCTCACATCTGTCTAATTTCCTTTAAATCCTCCGCTCATCATCTCACTTCCATTTACCTTTAATTCTGCCTTTGCATCTTCAATTTCTATTTGTTTCCGCTCATATAAACTCCTCCTCTCTGACTTTTGACATTGACATTGGTCTGCCACTTTAATCATTTCTTCTAGGTTTAGTAATCTTGCTTTCCCGTACACAACTGACCACGTTTATGTCGCTCTTCCCTTTCCCTCGCCTCATCTTTACTAACTCTGATTTCATATGTAGATGGATATGCACACAAAGCTTCTTTCTTAGTATCTGAATGTTGTCTTTTCTTTGTTAATTGCAGTATCTGGTCCTGTCTGTATCAGTCCACCATGTTGGAGAATTTGTCCCGCAGGAATCGGTCCTTGCTGTCTCTCTCGCTGACCTCTCTGGCCCTAGCGCTCTCTGTTTTGGCCTTCTGTACCTCATACTGGTGCGAGGGGACACATAAAGTGGTCAAACCTCTCTGTCTGTCACCAGTCAAAATGAAGAACTGCGGGCAGAACAACAGCCAGCCTTACACAACTGGTAAGGAGGAGGGTCTCACAGCGAAGCCATAGAACCATCAATTTTGGTTCCCCAAAGAACCTTTCAGTGAACAGGTCTTAAATCAAATATATTTTCTTAGTTTTATTAACGTATTATCTAAAGAACACTTTGTCACTATAAGGAACCTTTTGTACGGTGGAAAGTTTCCATGGAACCAGAGATGCCTGAGATGCACCTTTATTTTTAGGAGTGTGCACTGTAAAACAATTCAAGCCCAACTTTAAATGTTAATGTTAAAATGTACATTTTTAGGGAAAATCAAAATTGCATCCTGCTCAAAAGTTCAAGCGAATACAGCCAACAATAGCTAACAAACTAAAATTGTGATATTTCATTTATTATTCATAAAATCCTACTGACAAAGCCCATAATGTATAGCTAATTGCCTTTTGAACAAACAGTCATCTACACACATCTACGTTTAGTTGTAAAAAGCATGTGTTTGATTCATAAAAAAAGAACCGAATCATTAGAGCCTTTTGTTCAGGAATGGTACTTACCTCTTCATGATGTATATGTTTGATTCACTAAAAAGAATCTGTTCATTCATTCAAGAGTCATGTATTCATGAATCAAACTACACTGGTTGCGTTGCATGTTTTTGATTCACTAAAAGAACCGGTTCACAAGATTCATTTGCTTTGGAATACAAATGGACTGTTCACGATGTTTGTTCGCAAGTATATGGAAGCCCGTTCCCGCCAATAATAAAAAAAAGTATTTGTGACTTTTTATCTTACAATTCTGACGGTTTTTTTTTTTTTTTTAATTGTTGGATATAAACCCGCAATTGTGAGAAATAAAGTCAGATTTGGTTTGCATCTCGTAATTCTGACTTTATTTCTCACAATTGCGGGTTTATATCCAACAATTAAAAAAAAAAAAAAATATTTGTGCCTTTTTATCTTACAATTCTGACGGTTTTTTTTTTTTTTTTAATTGTTGGATATAAACCCGCAATTGTGAGAAATAAAGTCAGATTTGGTTTGCATCTCGTAATTCTGACTTTATTTCTCAGAATTGAAACTCACAATTACGAGTTAAAGTCCAGTTCTGAGGAGAAAAGACTGATATGTTCTCAGAATTGAGTTTATATCACACAATTCTGACCTAATTTCTCAGAATTGGGAGTATATCTTGCAATTCTGACTTTATAATTCGCAATTGCAAGTTTATATCTCGCAATTCTGACTTCATTTCTCACAATTGCGAGTTTTTATCTAAAAAATTCTGAGAAAAAAAGTCAGAATTGCCAGATGTAAACTGGCAATTGTGAGAAAAATAAGTCAGAGAATTGTGAGATAAAAAAGTTGCAATTGCCTTTTACATTTTTTATTCAGTGTTTTTTTTTATTAAGATTGGGTTAAGGTGTTGAATAAAACAGTCTATTTTAGGTATTTTAGTACGACACTGTGATCGCGTCAGCAGAATACACTTGCGAGAACCTGTAACAAAACCAAACGTCATTCTGTTCTGGTATTGTTTTTAATGAAACTGGCTGTGAATAAGCTCCCAATCCTAGTCATTGCATAACACACTTGACTAACATTTAGTAAGAAGTGTAAAGAGTGCAGCCTGTTTACAGATACAGACGTGTTCTTTAAAACTACAGTCAGTCTCTTTTTATTTCTCATTGTTCTTTTATTCAGTTCTCCAGTCTTCTCCACTCGATTCTCCCTCTTTCCACAGAGGTCCCAACAGCAGACCCCAAGAAAGCAGACTCCAATGTGACAATGTCCCCCAAGCAGAAGGAGGAACTGGCCCGTATGAGAGCCAGAAATCTTGCAAATGCAGTTCACTACATCTGGGAGACGGGTGAAGACAAATACATGCTGCGCTACTTTCACACTGGCTTCTGGTTGTCCTGTGAGAAACACAATGACGGGGCTGGTGAGGGCAAATGGTTCAGTATTCTTCTTTCTGATATCTGTTAGCTTTTAATGATGATGTTAAGTGATAAATCATCAAAATTCACTTTTATTGACAGTTATTTTGCAGCTGTTTGGCTGGAGACTTTATATAAAATTCCAATGAATGGAATTCAATTCGGGTTCAAAGAAAATTAGTACAACACACTTTTAACACATAAAGCAACTACTGTCATATGGCCAACTGTCAAAGCTGTTCTTGATACTAATGTCCTGATTCAGTCCCTTTGAACATCTGTTTCCTGTTGAGGCCTTTCTTAACACTTAAACTGCCATGGGGTCACCCCAGTTCTCAACATCTGCTACAACAAGACAGTCTTACACAACTCAGAGGACATGTCTCTTTAAAAGAGATAGATAGATAGATAGATAGATAGATAGATAGATAGATATTAGATTTAGAGTTTTAGCTCCATGAGTTCTGAGAACATTTGCGCTTTCAATTTAGTTTGGATCGCGTCTGACTCTCTAGGTATTGTGTCAATCTGTACAATCATTCTTCACTTCATTATATTTTGGGCTTTCAATAAGATCACCAAGCACAATATATCAGATAATCTGAATACACAACAAGACGGAGTGATGGACAGATTACAAAAAAACAGGAATACCAGCAGCTTTAGACAGATGCTTTCAAAAGCTGGACAGAAGATTATGTGAATAATCTCCCCAGTAAGAGACAGAGATAAAGTGAGAGATGGAGAGAATGAGAAATGGTAAGAAAGAAAATCAGAATCACAAACAGAGAGAGGAGAGAGAATTTTTTGCATGTTTTTAAGCCAATGTTCACTTAGTGATGGTCATGTTACAGCATACATATTCAAGTTATGGTAAAAGCATACACATAATTCCATATGTTACTATTTAATGTTCCATTCAATCAATAACTAACCTATAATATTCTGTCTGGAGAAAAAAAATCTTTACACACCTGTTTTGCAATAACACAATGTAATATAGTGTAAAAATGAACCAAAAGAAGATTGTTTCACATACAATGAAATGAGACCATATCTTAATATGAGAGAATAATTAAACCATTTCAAATGGACACTAAACAATGGCATTCATCAACTGAACGCAAACTCCAATCTAAAAAAGACCATTCGAGTTATAAGATGTGTGCCAAACAGCCCTCTAATTCAACAAATGCATGACAGAAATCAAACATACCCTTAACCTAGAAATTACAGTCAAAGGGAACAGAATATATTTCAACTATTTTTCAAAGGGGTATCTTTTACTTAAAGCAGCTGTATGTAGTTTTGTGTATTTTTTCGACTTTGGAGCCCCCTACAGTGTTAAATGAGGAGAATTCACTGTTGCAATCACGTGATTCTGAAGACGCGCGATTCGGCGCGAAATTCAGATGAAGGGCAGGAAGTGAAAAGCAGAATGGATGAGATGGAGGAAAGTCTGTACTGTAACGTTACTGGTTTAGACCAAGCGGCAACCTCCCGCTCTCTCTCGTGAAGCCAACAAGGAAGTGACTTAAACTGTAATTCGTCAACTGGCCGCTAGAGGCTGGCTGCAAAAGGGAGTCAATCCCATAGACTCCCCATGTTAAAATGCCCAACTTTACAGCAGAAAAAAACATGTTTACAGCCTGGTTCAAAAAATGATTTTTGGTCTATATAGCTAATTTTGCCCTTCATGACAACTCTGAGGGGGTTGAATTCTTTTATAAGTCATCCGTTTAAATTATATTAAGCCTTACATTTTTGCATAATTAAGGGCGTGGCCACTTGAGTGACAGGTGGATTGCCGCTGCTGTCACCGTTGAGCTAGGTGGGCGTGGTTTCAGCAACCAGCTCCCGCCTTTTTGCCCATTTTCGATTATCTACGCGCTGCCAAGATGGCGACGGCCGGCTCCGCCCACTTTCGGCTTAAAAACGTTCTTCGGGAACCTACGAGTGACGTCATGGACACTACGTCCATGTTTTTATACAGTCTATGGTTTAGACACTATACGGTGCTTAATTTGTAAATTAAACATTGCCGGATCCAAATCAGCAGTTAAAAGGCCCCGTGACCGACACTGACAATACAACGTCAGTTTTCCGGGAACATTCAACAACGGTGATGACACAACGATAAACGTTTTCAAACCCTGGGTCAAAAATGGGTCGCCAGGATGATTTAAGGCAAATATATGTAAGTTACATTAAAAAGAACAAAATTTGTTTCCATAAAAATAAAATACAATCATAATCTATATAGGAACGGTATAAATATGCGAAACATATCTGACATAAATAATTAACAGATATAAAACAGATGTGAGGCACGGCGAGTCTACATTATAAATAATAGTTTTTACATTGAAATACATTGCGAATATGGAACCATTTGGATTTGTGCCGAATGATAGAGGTAAGTGAGCTCAACGGTACTTTCAGTTTCGCTTTGTTTTGGTTTCTTTAGCTTTATTTTTATTTTTTTCATTCTTGATTTGTTCTGCATATACATTTAAATTATTTGTTTTGAGTTTACATGCTCCACAGGTGTTGAAATATCCATGTATTCATGTAATCAGCATACTAGACTGTAATTTTATTATTCAATGTCAAACATGTCCTACATGCAAGAGTGGGAACCTTTGTGTCAATTTGAAATGTAGGTCTTGATGTTTCTTTTACTGTTTGTACAATAATAGTAAAAAAAAAAATAAGATGTCCTCTTTGCTTCCGATATGTTTGTGTTCACATAATGCTTTAGATTTAGAGTTTTAGCTCCATGAGTTCTGAGAACATTTGCGCTTTCAATTTAGTTTGGATCGCGTCTGACTCTCTAGGTATTGTGTCAATCTGTACAATCATTCTTCACTTCATTATATTTTGGGCTTTCAATAAGATCACCAAGCACAATATATCAGATAATCTGAATACACAACAAGACGGAGTGATGGACAGATTACAAAAAAACAGGAATACCAGCAGCTTTAGACAGATGCTTTCAAAAGCTGGACAGAAGATTATGTGAATAATCTCCCCAGTAAGAGACAGAGATAAAGTGTTACATTGAAATACATTGCGAATATGGAACCATTTGGATTTGTGCCGAATGATAGAGGTAAGTGAGCTCAACGGTACTTTCAGTTTCGCTTTGTTTTGGTTTCTTTAGCTTTATTTTTATTTTTTTCATTCTTGATTTGTTCTGCATATACATTTAAATTATTTGTTTTGGAGTGAGGGGAACTAGGCTATGATTATAGTGTTTATAATGTTTATACGTTATAATATTTCACTTTACATGGTATTATTTCTGGTATTATTACACTCTCTCCAAACGTTCCGCTGCTCACAAAAGAGTGGAGAGAGTGGGTTAAGCAGAACCAATCAACGAGAGCGATTTTGATCTTAAAGGGATACACACCTCACGCACCAGAAGCCATGCTCGCGCCCAAAGACAGTTGGACATAGTGGTGTATTAGAGGTAAAATATGATATAAATACTGTTCAGTTTCTCGCACAAACTGATCGTTTCGTGTCTTAGGGGAACCATTTGGATTTGTGCCGAATGATAGAGGTAAGTGAGCTCAACGGTACTTTCAGTTTCGCTTTGTTTTGGTTTCTTTAGCTTTATTTTTATTTTTTTCATTCTTGATTTGTTCTGCATATACATTTAAATTATTTGTTTTGGAGTGAGGGGAACTAGGCTATGATTATAGTGTTTATAATGTTTATACGTTATAATATTTCACTTTACATGGTATTATTTCTGGTATTATTACACTCTCTCCAAACGTTCCGCTGCTCACAAAAGAGTGGAGAGAGTGGGTTAAGCAGAACCAATCAACGAGAGCGATTTTGATCTTAAAGGGATACACACCTCACGCACCAGAAGCCATGCTCGCGCCCAAAGACAGTTGGACATAGTGGTGTATTAGAGGTAAAATATGATATAAATACTGTTCGGTTTCTCGCACAAACTGATCGTTTCGTGTCTTAGGACATCAATGTGTCGTCACGAGCCGCGGGGTTTAATTTGGATTTGTCTGTGCATGTTTTTTTTACTCTCATAGATTTTGTTACCATTGCCATGCATTATACGACTGATAGACTGCAACGGTTGGAGTTAAAAATCATCAAATGTGTTCTACTGAAGAAACAAAGTCATCTACATCTTGGATGCCCTGGGGGTAAAAAGATAAACATCAAATTTTCATTCTTGGGTGAACTATCCCTTTAAAAAAGCTGATTGGTCAATAATATGTTGAGGACCAATACATAATCTACAAATCATGCTCCAAATACATCTACATAAACCCGCAATTGCTCTGTCTCGTATGCACGCATGCACTGTCACGATAATGCACTTGTTAATGCCGGATCTTTAAAAACAAATACTGGAATGCAAAAATCCAAAATCGGACATTTTCCGGAACAGGATCCGGCTCAAATTAAGCACTGGAAAGGTATAAACAGAAAATCACAACATATGTTGGACGTGATCCTTATGTTATGAAGATAAGCAATTTTTCAACTAAATTGAAAAATCAATGTCACGTTGTTTCGTTATAATTGATGAAGCTCTCTAAACTGCAAATATAATATAGCCTGAAAAATAATCTAGCCAGAAAATAAGCTTTTTTTAACGCTATTTGAGCATAAGAAACAACATTCATGGGGCAGTTCGTTTCCGATTTTGTTGCTGATTTGAAATATGTAATTTAATTGCAACTTCAACACGCAGTTTTTGAGATTTCAGGATTCCCCCATTCATTTAGAACTTGGTCTTGTTTGAGCTGCCTGGAGGCGTTACAAATATGGCTGCAGAGTGAACAGACTTTCCTTGAAAGGTACTTTAATCTATTCTTAATATATATATTAACCATTTGCACACATGAGCATTATCCGACTCTGCTCCTCCCGACCGACAGACACAGGGTTTTATATATATATATATATATAGATATATATAGATAGATATATACATATCTATGGGGTTACCGGCCACTTTTCCTCAGTTTTTTTCAGTCAATTTCTTGCCTTTTCCCCGATTATGAACAACAAATTTTCGTACACGATAAAAGCTCCTTGTGGTTTCTCGGTTTGACCAATTTGAGCATCCATAACGCAAAACATAGTCATTTTGAGTTTCTGCTAGATTCCTATATAGAAAATCACTTCCTTGCCTCCAGCTGCATTTTGCACCACAGCAGTGACGGCATGGGCAAAACCTATTACAGTGGACAGCTACACGTGCATTTGTTGCTGCTGTAAAGCAAAGGAGTGTGGGAAACAGACAGAAGCCATTTATCTTATTTGATGTGAGTGTACCATCAGAATGATTTTGAAACTGATATTTCAAGGTAAAAAAAAAACCTTACAGTTGCTTTAATAAAAACACGTGAAACTAGCAGAACACAATGGCGACACACAAATTAAGGATGGCGCATCTTTAATGAAATGTTTAATATAACAACAAATGCACAGGAAGTCAAGCATAACAAAACCACTGTTTGCATGAACATGATCATGTTGGGTCATTTATGGTCGTACTGAATGAGCCGCAGCGCAATCTCGTTTGACTGAACGGCCTCAATGAACTCTCCCTCTGCGACTCGTTCTGCATGTGTGAGAGAGAATTTACTTTGTAAATGTTTTCTCTGTATGCTAATATCGATTAACAACGAATCATAAGAATCTTAAGTTAGCTTTCTTACCATTGTCCTTTTTGTCAAAGATGGCCCAGAGTTTCTCTGCTCTCTTCTCTGGCGTGCCCTCATCACTGGGAAGATTTGCCTGCTTCGCTTTTGGTATGAGATTGAAAATTGCCTGATGGGAAATGAGAGAGAACAGGATCAAATGACAGAGTTTTTGGCTTGAACACCAAATCCGTCAAAGTGAATACGGAATTTTCATTTGAATCACTGTAGTTTTACTGCCAGTTTATATTTGAATTAGACTACTGTGCCACTAAGAAAGCCAAAATACAAAATCTGTATATTTCACACTTGTGTCTTTGTTAATGGGTCAAGTAATAAACTTTACCTTGTAGATTTCTATAGTGTATTATGGGTCTCAACATGTTGCATGTTAGGTTGAAGCATTCTTTATTAAAAATGTTTCAGTTCAGTCAGAGTTCAGCTGATGTCATAATTGCTGTACAGGACATACTTATGATTTTTTTTTTTGTATGACGATGTTGGCCATTACATGGACCTATTCTTTGGATAACATCTCATGACGCACAAACCTATTTCCAAATCTGTTATTTTGTCCTGTAATCCATGTTTAGCTTAATTTTAATGGATTGTGTTTAGGCTATGTGTTAAATGTATTTCTCCTCGCTTTCCCTCAGCTCCCTATCTGTTTGGCCTCAGTGCTGTATATGTCTTACTCCTTCTTTAGAGCTTAACTTGCTTGTTTGATAATTAGTTTGCATGCTGATTCGGCTCAACCTAATATAACTGAAGTTACCTAACAATAGGCCAATTCAAATAGATGAAATGGTGCCAGCTGTGCCAATCTTACTTGAGAGCTTTAGCAAGATAATGAGGACAGCCATGTCTGGGGTGCACTTCTAACTCAAAACAAGGTGAAAAAGTGTAATAAATAAAAGACTAAAATGAACAGACATTCAATTACATTAATCACTCTGTAACCATAAATAAATGTCCGGAAAATTTGTTATGCTGAAACAGAAATGAGAAATGTTTCAATAACCATTTAAATTTTGGTCTGTTCACACAAAACCAGTTGTATAAATTCAGAAGACCTGGAATATAGTGCGTAAGACCTGTTCACACCAAGAACGATAACTGTAACGGTAATTACAACTATAATGTTTTAAAACAACAACTATAACGATAACGACACAGAGAAACAATATCATTGGAATCACTTTCAGAATGATTTTTACCCTGCTGACGGATAATAAAAAACCTTGATAGCCAATCAGAATCCAAACGACTTTAAAGACCTCAAGCATTTAAAGTTTCAGATGACAAAATTGTCGTGCGAACTTATAATGAACAGAACATTATAATGCATTGGTGTGGACACTGTATAGTTATCATTATAGTTATTGAGCTCGACAACCCTCATTCATTTTTACTTTATTCTGTGATAAGATTTTCTCTCTGTGTTCCATGAAAGAAAGTCATGTTTGGAATGACAAGAATTTTTATTTTGTGGTGATCTATCCAATAAACTGCTCCAATAAACCAGGCGAAATTAATATTTGACACATCTGAGAATGCTAATCAGTGATCATTCTCAGTGATTCTGCAAGTGTCTTATACAATTAATTTTCTTTCATGGTGGAGCTACTACAGTTTGAAGAGAATCTTGCTGAGCAAATTAAAGTTTACAAGTAATTATCTTAATTAAACACATACAGTAATGGCACATACATTTGAATGAAAACTATAGCATCCCCTTGAGTACTCACAATTTACAAATATTCACAACTGAGCGTTCTCGGTTGTCATAATCCAAAAGACAGCCCTGCTTTGATGTAATATTACACTATAGTTTATTTTTGAAGGAAAGTTTACTGTTTACAGATGGTATAACATAAGGGGTATCATTTATTCTGTTGATTCATACTACAACATCTCTGTCCAACAATTTACACTCCCTGGGAAATTGATCGTCCATTTCTAAGAAGAAGGCTTAAGAGTTGACATGTCATTGAATCCCCCTGCGCCCATGGTCTTAAATCCTGATTGCACACTGAAGCGCTTATCTCTCTCACAGTACCCACCACCCAATCATTCTGCCTCCCTCCGCAATGAGTGCTTATAGAGCTCAAGCTTAAGGATGATGTCACTCTATGCTTCTAATCGCTGTTCTTAGGTCAGCTTTAATGTTTAATGCTCTTTATGTTTTAATCGTCACTTTCAAAATGACCTGACTCAGAGTCTGAGACACATTCTTGATCCCTTATGATTGGACAGGGTGTCCCACCACCAGGCAAACTTAAGATACAGTCACATTGCCACAATTTTGCAGTCAACTGTTCATTATCAATAGTGCAGCAATAGATGATTAACAGTGAATTTGTGTGACCAACTGGAACATGAGCGAAATCTGCAAGGGAAACATTTTAGCCCCCACTCGAAAACCCCCTAATAATTCTCCCTAAAGTTTCTGTACATTTACCCACCAATCGCATGGCTAACTTAATAAATAAGAAATATTAAGTTTGAAATACTATTATGTGTGAAGATTTCTGCGATTGAATCGACTCAACCAATTTATTCGGGGCTATCTATTTGTCTGACCAATGACAGATGGGGGCGTGTTCAGGGAAACCCGTTTGAAATCATGAATTATGCAATTCTGTTTGGTGAAGTTGCTGGCACAGAAATGTCACACTTCAAGCTAACAAAATCTATCAGGTAAATAAAAAGCATATTAATACATGGGATATATGTGTGAAAAACTTTTTAGCCAACACGCGAAAATCGGAAAAGGGTGGATTTCGCTGAGCAACAGTAACTGTGACTGCATTTTTACTGTTTTAAGTACTGTCAGAGTTTATGTTAATGATGTTTTATCATTATGTATTCCCAATGGGTGTCAGCGTTTTTTAACTAAAGTTTAAATTCTGTAGTGAAGTCCACAAGCATTGTGAAGTCCACAACACAACTAATGAAAATGACACAGAAACAATAATATGCAAAAACTTTAAGAACAATTTTTTTTTCCAGATGATGAATGATAAAAAAACATTGACAGCCATTTAGAATCTGACCTTTAAAAAGCTTGAGCTTGAAACTCTTGGTTTTGCAGATTCGTAAATGGCTGGAATTTGCTTGCAAAATTTCGCCAAGCAGTTTTACTGTTTAATGTTTCATATCAAATTTGCATGGCTAACTTAAACAAATAAGGCATATTAAGTCTGAAATACTATTATATGTGAAGAATTCTGTGATTGAATCCACATTGACTCAACCAGTGTATTTGGGGGCGGGGCTATCTGTTTGTTCAAGGAAACCTGTTAGAAATCATGAATTATGCAATTCTGTTTGGTGAGGTTAGTGGCACAGATATGACACACTTTAAGCTAAATCTATCAAGTAAATAAAAAGTGTAATATATTTTCATAGTAAATTCTATGATAGATATATTGGGAACAGAGAAAATCTGTGGAATGGAGGTTTGTCCAGTAGGATGGAGAACAGCTCCTTCAGCAGGTGTTTGTGTACAATTTATGGGAAATCTAATTATTTTCTTACCTGGCTGAGTTCAATTACTTCAGGTTTTGTGACGTAACCATTCTTGTCCACATCAAACAGTGAGAAGGCCCACTCTAGCTTCAAGGTCGACTTGCCCGAGGAGGTCATATGAAGCGCAACCACATACTCTTTAAAGTCTAATGTCCCATCATCATTGGCGTCAAAAGACCGAAAAACGTGTTGGGCATAAGCTTTGGCATCACTTTCAGGGAAGAATTTAGCGTAGATCTCTTCAAACTTCTGTAGTGAGATGCGACCTGTAGGACACTGCTTCTGGAAGTTTTCATACCACTGGGTGATCTCAGATTCTGAGAACCTAGTGGTCAGCTTGAGGTCATCCAGGATCTCTCTGGGAATCCCTCCACTCTGTGCGTTTCCCATGACCTCCCTTTGAGTGATAGAAGAATAGAAGACAGAAGAAACTGATGTTCTAACAAAGGTGTGAAATTGTGCCCTTAGTAAAGATGTTAGTCAGTCAAGGTTTCCAGTCAAAACTGTAAATTAACACAGCAAGCTAAAATTACAAAAAAATCGGACAAAATCTGACACAAAAGTGTGGGTCATATTTCACTCCAAAAACTTTTTTTTTAATTGTCATTAAAATGAAGCCACGATACCAAACATCTTAGTGATCCTGAAATATGGCACATAAAGTGTTTCATATATTTTCTGTTGCTTTTATTATTATTATTATTATTTGTGTGAGACTGAACCATTGACAGTCAATAGACGGTTCCCTATAATTTTAATATCTTGACCTAGTCATGTTTATTGTACTTAATATAACGTTTCTCAAATTGGCATTTAGTTGTTCTTTATTGCCCTTTACTGATAAATTGGTCAGTGTTGCTGAAAAAATATGAAAACACTTCAAAACTAGAAAAAAAGAAGAAATGTGACTTAAAGGTACCTCTCTTTAGAAAGAAAAAAAACCTCACCTCTGAAATATGCTGCAATTAGGAAACTGTAACTACTAATTATGGTTGTGCATAGATTACATTATTACATCTATTATCAAGATTTTCTAGTTAACATAATCAGTTGCGAAAAGTGACGAAAGTGTCCTAATAAACTGCAGTAAACAAAAAGCCCAACCTATATTACAGACTTAGTCTCATAAAGGTTTTTTGCAAGGTTTAATTTAATGTAGACAAAACTCAAACAAAAAAGGAGTAATAGATAAAAAAAAGAGTAATAGATAAAAAAATAAATGAATAAATAAACTCAGAAGCCACTGAAAAAAAAGTAAAGCCACTGACTGGGATGTGTTTATAAATGTTTAATGTAGTGTATATTAATATAATGATTAATATAGATGCAAACCAGTAAAGAATATGCAAGTTCTGATTAAAATCACTAGGCTCATAAGTAGTTGTGCTCTATAGAGAAATCAAAAATCTTGTATCTGTATGCACGAATAGAAAAGAATATGCTTACCTGTGGCTGTGGACCAAGAATGAAGAATGGAAGGGAAGTTATCAAGGTAGAGTTTGGAAGAGTAATGAGGCAGTGTTAAAGGAGGCGGCTACCTCTCCATACTGGGTTAAGTCAATTAAACAAGATTCCACAAGACTCAGCCAGAACAAGATTTTCATTTCATGTTTTGCACAATTGCTTTTTTTCTGTTCTGTTCTGTTCTGTACTTTTTTCTAACCCAATAATAATTACAGTCACATTTTGGGTTTTAGCTAAACAGCTCTGACAACTTGACTAAAATAAAGTTCACTCTCCTGGATGAGTTGAAACACACGATACAACATATGATCCAACTGTTTGCCACAATATCAGATTTTCACATTTTATTTTATGATTTTTAGAAGTAAAATTATCAAATGATGACAATTTTTGTAGCCTGTTAATTGGTTGTTTTATGTAAACAACATTATGGCAAAGAATTTCATCTATAAATACAAAATGTAGTTCCAGAAAAACAGTCAAGGGGTGTGCTGATCTCAACTATTAAGAGAGGGATTTCCATTCAGGTCTTCATAAATCTCATTAAACTAAGTGGTAATGGTCTTCTCCTCATGGTGTGCTGTCCAGGCGTACACCATCTTAAAGCGGTCATATGATGCGATTTCAAGTTTTCCTTTCTCTTTGGAGTGTTACAAAGAGAGAGAGAGCGAGAGAGAGAGCGTGAGAGAGAGAGTGTGAGAGAGAGAGAGAGAGAGAGAGAGAGAGAGAGAAAGCGAGAGAGAGGGCGCGAGAGAGCGAGAGAGACGGGGTCACATCACAGTGGAGTCAGCTGTCTTAACAGTGGCTTGTGTACTGCAAACACATACCAGCTTTGCGCATCGTGTGTGTGTGTGCGAGAGAGAGAAAGAGAGAGAGAGCGAGAGAGAGAGCGTGAGAGAGAGAGTGTGAGAGAGAGAGAGAGAGAGCGCGCGAGAGAGAGAAAGCGAGAGAGAGGGCGCGAGAGAGCGAGAGAGACGGGGTCACATCACAGTGGAGTCAGCTGTCTTAACAGTGGCTTGTGTACTGCAAACACATACCAGCTTCATCACTGTGTCTGTCACACGACTCTGTTCCCCTTTTGGGCTGTCTTTACATTTATTTTGAAAGACGAAGCTCGCGATTATGGTAAGGGTCGTTACATTTCAGACGCGCGCTTGTGGTGTTCGGCCAATCACAGTGCACTGGGTCAGCTGGCCAATCAGAGCAGACTGCGCTTGTCGGAAGGAGGAACTTTGTAGAAAACGAAGCGTTTGAGAGAGGCGGGGCATAGAGGACTTACAATAATGTACAGTATTTGAAAAATAATGTGTTTTTTTAACATTAAAGCATGTCAACATATTCTGTTACACCAAATACACAAAATAATGATCTTTAAAAAAGCATCATATGGTTTGTTTAATGTATTTTAGTGACTTTTGAAATAGAAACTGCTAAATTTGCAACTGATTAAATGATCTGGGCAATGACATGATTATCAGCATTATTTATTAAAAAAATATAGAAATAAATGGAAATAAAAATAAGAGGTTCAGTTTGAATATTGAATATCTGCACTGCACCCCTTTTTTATTTTTTATTGAGGTTTTTATTGTGTTTTTGGAAGGTTGATAGGGGCATGTAAGGGGTGATTTATACCACTATTGTGACCTTGTCCGAGGCACTTAACCTTTGGGGGGATTTTCCAAACATACACAATTGTTTGAAAGTAATTTTAGGAAAAAAAGAGAAGACCACTTGGCTTTAGAAACCTTCTGATTGACTGTTGACATACTGTGCAATCTTTCATCCGTATCCTTCCCTAACATTAAATCTTTTTTTTGTTTGTTTACCTTTCCACCTTTTTAAGTGTTGGATTTTGTCTGGGTTATAAATACATCCTGATAGTCTTCTTCTGAGCAGATTACTGTCCTTAGTCTACCTTGTCCTGCCCACGATAATGTCCCCGCACCAGACAATCCCTCCATCTATAATGAGAGAGAGAACACAGAAATAAACACGTTGGAAAGAGTGAACAAGGAGGGAAAGAAGCATAACACGTGACATCAAAGTAAAAAGCCAAGCTTCTGTGCACAGGTCTTTAATGACTCATTTATTTACATCTTCCTATATGCTTGATTAAGTGCAAACCCAAACATAATGTCAATTTAAAATAAAATTAAATCCCAGATTTCTGTATTTTTTATATTTAATAAAATATCACAAATAACTTTTTTGTGTTCAAAATGTACATCATTTATATAATAAGCGAGTAAACCATGAATCCATTTTCCAAACCGTGTTTTTGGCTTGTCCTGAATCACTAAGGTACACCTATAATAAGTGTTTATATTCGGACTATTTTAGACTGGTTCGGGTAGGTACCGCTGCGGAGTAGCCCAGTACCTGCGTGATTCGTCATAGACATAAACAGAGAGAAGTAGCTCCGGCAACAATGTTCTTCCGCAAGACGCACGCAGTTCTGTTTATTAACCTCAAGAGCGCCAAAAGTTACGGACTGCAGCTTTAAATAAAATATCTAACATTTAAATAGTTAAATGTCATGTAGTCAGTGACAAATTGTTGGCTTGTAGTTCATCATCTTTCCATAAAAAAAAGATTGCTTGATCATTTTTTCTTAGAATAACTTATTAAGCAGTTGAATACAAATGCATTGATAAAGACATTGTTATGGTTTTAAATTAGGCATTAACAAACTTATTTTTGTCAAATTGATAGAAACTGTCAAAATAGCTGAATCTCTACGAAATGTCTTTCATGTGAAATACTGAAGTCAGTCTAAAATTAACAGCATTTTACAATTGTTATAATTATTGTGCAAACCATTTTCATGAGCTCATATACATTTTCAAGCATCATGGAATATTTTTACCCATATTTGTCACCCTATAGAAATAAAGAATAGCAAGCATGGTTTCCTTCCAAAGTGGTATGCAGTAGCTTCTCCACTAAGGTGTTTGCCTCAAAAACAGGTGTAAATAATAATCTGTCCAAAAGACTTTCAAGATGTATAATCTCACAGATCTGAATCTTTTTGAAAGGAGGTGGTTATCTGACCTTTGGGATCCACCTTATTTATAAATAACTACTTTAAGCTTTTTTCACAATTTGCTTTCTCTTATATGACACCAATTTATTGATTTAGAATTGCAGAACTACCATCGATTTGTATTTGTATCTAACATTGTTCTTTTTCCACATTGTATGCCTACTTTTCTCACATCAAGTGCCAATTTCCCTTACGCACTTGTCTGTACCACACAGAATATGCTACTTTTAGACCATGTGTGCTAATAAGTCCCAATCCCATTAGATGGCTTAAAACGAGAAAAGCCCTCAGAGATCAAGTTTAAAACAGGAAAAGAACCTAGAGCTAAATAAAGCACAGTTTTTTAAGTCTTAGACTATCCGTAAGCTTCTTTTTTTGTTTACTGGAGGCACTTTTAGAAGAGGCAGAGAAGCTGATCTACTTAGAAAAACACAATATTCAGGGTTTAAGATATTTCAAGAACAAATAGCAATAATAATGCAGTTTTATATTCATCACACTTTTTTTACCTTTTTTTCTTGCTAATATCACAACTGATGTACAGAACTGTCACATCTGTAGCAAAGAGCAACGTAAAGGATACATATTTTAAAACATTAAAAAAAACACCTTTTTAATTTGTCAAAAATGTCATTTTTATTCATGTAAAAATCTGTCTCCACCTAGAGATCATATGAAGTACTGCAAATGTCCTCTGATTGGTGGAACAACATTTTCTAGCCACTTGAACACATAGGTTTAATATAAAACAATACTGACAATTTGCCAAATATCAATCAAGATCATACACATTTTGCGTACATGTTCAATGCAACCATTTCTTGATAACTAAAAAGAAAAAATAAGAACTAAAACACACTTTACAGAGAATAAACACTGCTCTTGGCCATAAGTTGACAAAAACAACAGCAAAAAAAGAAAATACATTGCACTACAGTACAGTAAATTTGTGACAGTTTTGTTTAGTCAAGTTCTTAATGACTTGTCACAGTAACGGAACAAACTACAATAGTAGTATTGTATTAAATCGAATCTTTATATTAAAAAAGTACAACAGAGTTATTGAAATATATATTACAGCTTGTTTCCAGGCAGTTTACCTAAGCAGGGTGTAAGGTCAGAATATTTACTATTTTCCCCTTTAAATCTCCATATTTAAATCTGTCAGGCACAAAAATGAGTCACTGTCTTTTTTTATTAAAAAAAAAATAGAAATTAGAAACAAAACAGCTAACAGCATCACCGTCGAAAGGTCAGGGCCCTCTGTGGACACGATGTGTATATATTTTCCTGCTGAGGTTGCGGGCCAAGCGATCCACAGCATTGCCGATTCCACTCAGATCCTTTTGTGTTGGCATACCCTCAATGTTGCCACTGTACCACATGACCCAACCGCCAAGAGATATCAGCACCAAGACAGCCCCAGTGTAGACAAGAAGGTCCCCGAAATCTCTCCCCTTCATTTCCAGTGGTGCAAAGAGCCCCAGAAACAGGGCCGTAAAGCCAACAATGTCAAAAATAACAGCAAAGCCCAGGGCCACTTTGCAGTGTTTCAAACCAGCACACGCCATGCTAACTGTTGGGGACAAACAGATAATAAAATAGTTTTTTTTTGTAGCAAATATGTAGACAAAATATGTAGCAAAAATTAATGCATTCATGAACTATGTATAAAACAGTACAAAAATGCACAATGCAAATAGTGAAAAATGAAGCCAAATCCACAACTGTTTACCTTTCTACAAAACGACTGTGTTACTCTGTTTGGGCCATTCGTAAAATCTGGGACTTGAAGCCACAGATGTGAAAGTAAAGTCACTTTAAACGTTAAATCGATCAGCACAACTACACCAACTGTATTTTATATCGTTTTATGTGCTCAGAAAGACCATGTGCGAGCGTCAACGCTCAAACAACAGACAGTCTTATCTTCACACAAAACACGAAGGCGTTAGGGGCTTATCGATCTAAAATGCATTAGTAAATATACCGACCTTGATTTTCGTATCTTCACTTCACGAATATTAAATATTTCATCGCTTTTCAGGCATGGTTGCGTCAGGTATGAACTAAACCTGTCTGAAGCTGTTTCCGGAGCCACCCAGCCGTGTTGATATTTGACACCACCGGAATGCTGCCCTTGCAAACAAGTTACCATGGTAACCAATTTTCCGTGAAAATAGCTAAAGCAGTTATTACTCTGTCATCATATCATCACAATTAATCAAAGACATCTTACACTGTTTGACTGAGGTCTTATTTGATGTATTATGAATGTACAGTAGCTGTAACAATAATTGGGGGGATTTTTTTGTTTTATTCCAGGCTCTCTGGCATAAATCATGAGGGTTGACTGACTGAACGACCGTCTGCAGAACGAGATTATCCGGGTCATTTACGCTACTTTGATGAAATAAAAACGTTTACTTTTAAATATCTAAGTGAAAAAAATCAAGTGCATGTAACTTGTTTTTTTTCCCTGTCATTAAATTACGTTTTTAGGTACTTTGAAATAAATTAATCAATAAGTGTGTTTTTTTTACAAAGTAGCATGTTAACTTAATTATACCCCTATAATTTAATCTAAAAATGTAAAATTTTAATTAATTATGTTATGATATTTAAACAGCAATATCTTTTATTGTAAAGAAAGATCAGTTTTCAGAATTGTATTTACTTTCATTTGTAATTTTGCAAGTACAGCTATGACTACACAAGAGACGTTGCAGTACTTCGCAATTTGCATTTCACAGTTTGCATCAAGTTTATTTTTTATATTATTAAATATTTGATTATGTAAAATAGATCTGCCCCAATTGATGTCGATGTCTTAAAAGAACAAGAATGATAATATGATATATATATATATATATTTTACATAATAAAATATTTAATAATATAACAAATAAACTTGATGCAAACTGTGAAATGCAAATTGCGAAGTACTGCAACGTCTCTTGTGTAGTCATAGCTGTACTTGCAAAATTACAAATGAAAGTAAATACAATTCTGAAAACTGATCTTTCTTTACAATAAAAGATATTGCTGTTTAAATATCATAACATAATTAATTAAAATTTTACATTTTTAGATTAAATTATAGGGGTATAATTAAGTTAACATGCTACTTTGTAAAAAAAACACACTTATTGATTAATTTATTTCAAAGTACCTAAAAACGTAATTTAATGACAGGGAAAAAAAACAAGTTACATGCACTTGATTTTTTTCACTTAGATATTTAAAAGTAAACGTTTTTATTTAATCAAAGTAGCGCGTCGTATATAACGTATGATTGCTAAGGGACCCGGATAATCTCGTTCTGCAGACTGTCGTTCAGTCAGTCAACCCTCATGACGCAGCGATCCACACAGGCGCACAACAACAATCAAAAGCCAATCAACACGCTGCAATTCCGTTTGGGGCTCGGCTAATGAGGTCCTTCAAGTTCCATGTGTAAATTTATTAGCTCTTATAAACGCGTGCAGTAAATGCCTCGTGCAGTTTAGTGGAGCGATGTGATGCGAATTAATATTACAAAGCTAATTTAAGTATACTCGCACGCTTTACTTGTTATCAGAAACAATCATCCGTTCCCCTGTTTGACAGGACGGGGAGACACACACAATTAACTAATGTTTAATTAACAACTTGTTAATGTTAACGACTAATTAACTACTTATAGTCGTCCTTGATTGTTATCAATTGCATCACGCCCTGCTCTGTGTCATGCATTCGCTCCAGGTTTGTATCGGTTTAGTCTAGTTATCAGTTGGATTCGTGTTTTGAGAGAATTTATGTTTTGTTGTAGATTTGTGAATATCAGCCAGATCGATGTTACCGAGATCACGATGACTGATGCTCAGAGAAGCACGAGGAGCTGTAGAGGTCAGACTTTATTCCATTCGAAAAGTCTAGTTTAACCGGGATAAAATCCTATCGTATTTGAGAAATATAGTTTGAAGGCGATTTTGGGATATTTCTAGTTAGTCTAAGTTGGATTTAATTGCTGGTTTACTGTGGCAAAGCATGACATGAGATTATAGACGGAAAAATCTTTGAAATGGAACAATTTATTTTGAAACCTTTGACTATATATATATATATATATAAGTTTGCAAATATTTCTTATATGTCAGGCTTTTATGGCTCATAGAGCTCACACTCAAGGAGGAAAAGCACTTCAAATTTATTCAGAGGCCCAAACTGAGCAAAAATGTGCAATTCTAATAGTTTATGTAAATCTGCCAAAACTATATATATATATAAGACTACTTACATAAAATGTATATAAATATCCGTTGTCACAATGTCTTATTAGTATCTCTTAAAATTATATTTAACAACGTCTCTTGTGTAGTCATAGCTCAAAATTTTAATTTTTAGATTAAATTATAGGGGTATAATTAAATTAACATGCTACTTTGTAAAAAAAAAAAAACAACAACACTTATTGATTAATTTATTTCAAAGTACCTAAAAACGTAATTTAATGACAGAAAAAAAACAAGTTACATGCACTTGATTTTTTTTACTTAGATATTTAAAAGTAAACGTTTTTATTTAATCAAAGTAGCGCGTCGTATATAACGTATGATTGCTAAGGGACCCGGATAATCTCGTTCTGCAGACTGTCGTTCAGTCAGTCAACCCTCATGACGCAGCGATCCACACAGGCGCACAACAACAATCAAAAGCCAATCAACACGCTGCAATTCCGTTTGGGGCTCGGCTAATGAGGTCCTTCAAGTTCCATGTGTAAGTTTATTAGCTCTTATAAACGCGTGCAGTAAATGCCTCGTGCAGTTTAGTGGAGCGATGTGATGCGAATTAATATTACAAAGCTAATTTAAGTATACTCGCACGCTTTACTTGTTATCAGAAACAATCATCCGTTCCCCTGTTTGACAGGACGGGGAGACACACACAATTAACTAATGTTTAATTAACAACTTGTTAATGTTAACGACTAATTAACTACTTATAGTCGTCCTTGATTGTTATCAATTGCATCACGCCCTGCTCTGTGTCATGCATTCGCTCCAGGTTTGTATCGGTTTAGTCTAGTTATCAGTTGGATTCGTGTTTTGAGAGAATTTATGTTTTGTTGTAGATTTGTGAATATCAGCCAGATCGATGTTACCGAGATCACGATGACTGATGCTCAGAGAAGCACGAGGAGCTGTAGAGGTCAGACTTTATTCCATTCGAAAAGTCTAGTTTAACCGGGATAAAATCCTATCGTATTTGAGAAATATAGTTTGAAGGCGATTTTGGGATATTTCTAGTTAGTCTAAGTTGGATTTAATTGCTGGTTTACTGTGGCAAAGCATGACATGAGATTATAGACGGAAAAATCTTTGAAATGGAACAATTTATTTTGAAACCTTTGACTATATATATATATATATATAAGTTTGCAAATATTTCTTATATGTCAGGCTTTTATGGCTCATAGAGCTCACACTCAAGGAGGAAAAGCACTTCAAATTTATTCAGAGGCCCAAACTGAGCAAAAATGTGCAATTCTAATAGTTTATGTAAATCTGCCAAAACTATATATATATATAAGACTACTTACATAAAATGTATATAAATATCCGTTGTCACAATGTCTTATTAGTATCTCTTAAAATTATATTTAAATGCTGTACAAGTAAACATTCCTCAAAACAACATGTATCATATTTGAACTTATCACACTTTAACATCATTTTTCTAAAAGATAATGGATATGGATAATTTCAGTTTCTTCAGGCCAGTAAATGTTCATGTTGAAATATTACCAACAATATGAAAGTTATTCTTACTTGCATTAAGATAAACAGACCACAACCTCAAGGTGAATTGTCCGATTGTACTAAAAAGCCTTTTTCTGCAAGGTTTTGATTGTGTTGATCATTTAGAGACCTTAAAATGTAGGTTTAAGGTGGTCTACCACTTTGGACCAGCAAATGGCCAGTTTGGACCTAAAACCAGCGACCATCCAAGGCAGATTTGTCTTTTTCCTGGTGACAGGTTTGAAGAATGAAGATGGGTATGAAATTTCCATCCCCTTTGAGGACAACAGCCTGGATGAGTCTGGTTTCTATAATCAAAGCGACCACACCTTCGATGGTATTTACTCCAGCCACATTGTAACATGTTTGATTATCACGATTGAGGTCTACACTGTAGTATGTTTAAATGCTTCTGCAGAGTCGGAGTCAGGTCAGATTCCTCCTTGCAGTCCATACCTTCTGATTACCAGCCTCCGAGCACAACTGCAGATTTCTCTGGAAAAAAACTCCTGGCTTCAAAAACGCATCGAAGATCTGGAGGAGGAGAGGGACTTCCTGCGCTGCCAACTTGACAGATTTATTTTCACCACCAAGAGTCAGGAGAGCAATGGCATGACAGGAAAAGGTACACTTGTGCAAAGTAGTGTCTTGTAATGTAATGTAATCCAATTTTATGAAGTGTTATCTTTATTTAATTTAAGAAGCAGAAGCTGAGCCTCAAGCCACCACTCTGAAGCAGCCCACCCGGAAGACAGCTATTCCTTCCCCATCATCCATGATGACACGCTCTGGAAAAATCGCACAACACAACCAGAAGCGCAGCAGAAATAAGAGCTAATTAGTTTTTGTTGTTGTTGTTGTTATTTTTAGACCTACTTTCTTCTGTTGCACCAATCTTACTATTGCATTCTTTATCTGTAACCGTATTATTTTAATATCGTTAAAATAATAATATAGTTTGGTAGTATTTTGCATTAGATTTTATTTTTATAATTTCATATTTGAATTGAACAAAACAATTTTGTTTTGTTTTCATTCTTTTCAAATATTTATCTATATAGTTTAATATATCTATTAAGCTTTAGTTTATTTGGTTTGAATTATTTTTTTTAGTAGTTTAACTTAAACTTAATGAAAACAAGAAATGTAACCATGGCTGAAATAAAAATATTTTTAAAGTATTTTTATTTCAGTTAGTTTATTTTATTTCAAGTAATGAAAATGTTTTTTTGTTTTGTTTTAGTTTTACTTTAGTCAACAATAATAACCCTATAATAAAAACTGATCTGCAATGAAAAATGTTAAAACATTTTATTTGACTTTTTATTCACCTCAGATCAAGAAGACGAGGAGGTGATTGAGGAGGAGGAGTATATAGCAGAGGAAGACTTTGTGGAAGAGGAGCAGGTTGTTACAGATGATGATGGCGATGATTCCGATAGTAAAAGCTCACGTAAGAGCCATTCAGGAAGGCAGAATGGCCAGACAAGGGTGAAAAGACGACGTGTTTTCCGTATTGCTCGAAGCATGGAAAGACAAAGAGGTGAGTTGTCGTTTTCAGTTTCTATATATTTCAAAGCAACTCTCTATATTTAATAAATATCTAATAACTGTAATTTTGTACACAGTTAAAGACTCTGCAGGTGTTCTACTTCGTTACAATAAGATCCTTGTCACCTATCAAAAGTTGAAGAGCATGTCAAGAGCATTCCAGGTCCATGGGGTTGACCGAAACACCGTCGCCTCCACCACTCCTATTGCTGAAATGCTTTTGGTTGCTCCTGAGAAGGTATCTGAAGTTGGTGAGTTTGATTCCTCCAAGGAAAAGCTTCTGGATTATGCAAGACGCTGCTATAAAGCTCTTGACGAGAACGCTCATGCTAAGGTGCAGGCCTTAAAGAAGAACAACCTCTTGCTGCCCATTTCATACAGGTTCAGACATTAAATATCCACAAATGTATTCCTTTTGGGGGGGGGGGCAGCAGCGCTATTGACACAGTGGTTTGGATACTATGGAGTCCATTCATTGACCTTTCATGGGCTTTTTTTTTTTTTTTCTTCTCTACCTCAATTCTAGATCTACACATTTGGAGTGAAAAACTGTTCAAATCCCAACTCTGTGCCAACTTCAAAATGTGTAGATTCCAAGAAAGGCTTGTTGACTCAACATAAAGGGAGAAGAACATTTGTGAGATAAATAGTCAGCCACTGTATGTAAAGAGTTAACTTTTCTTATTTTGTAGATATGCTGAAGTTACTTACTGTAAAGTTTTGGAAACTCTGTCCTTCAATGAAAGGTGTCTTGTTTGAGTTCATGATTTGGGGATCACACAAGGTACTACTTTTCTTTAATATTCTGACTTTTGTGATCACATTTGGATGATTTGAGTCAGACTAAAGATTATTGAATAAAAGTAAAGTTCTCGGCTTGCTACCATCATCTTTCTAAATTAGCTGTGAAATAATAAAGGAGCAACTTGTTCTTTAATTAGTGGCCATGGCTGTAACAAGCTGCAGTTATTTTCCATTGGAAAAACTAGTGAGAGAAACTCAACGAACAAAGAGAAGTAGTTACTGTGTTTATCTGTATATTATTGAAATCTCTAAGTTCGAAGTGTACTGCTGTCTCAGTAAATGGCTGTGGCACACCAGTGCAGTGTTATTCTTTCAAATCATCTCAGACTCCACAAATGAAGCCTTTGTTTAAAAAAATAAATAAATACAATTTGTTGTTATTGACAAAGGGGAAAATAGATTGTATATGAATTCAAAATGTGTGATATTGGAGATGATTTTTTTTTTGCATGCTTTGTGTGCCAGTCCTACTCAGGAGGTTACCAGCAGAAGTCAAAACTTTGAGATTGTTTGATTAAAAATATTTACGAGAAAATGTTGTTCACCACGTTCCTTACTAGTTCATGGTATGCTTATAAGATTATCATGCTAAAATTGTGTTTTTACATTGCAATGTCATTTGAAAGGCTTGACTGACGTTTTTGTTATTGTGGTTACCTATTATTTTTCCTATTGGATTATGACTATTCATTTCAAAACCATACTGTTATTAAACACATCTCCAACACAGCATGGAAGAGCATTCAGTCATTTTCAACATGAACTCCACTATATTGTTTTTAAATAGGGACACCTAATCAAATCTAAAATGTGACCCTGAACCACAAAAGCAGTCTTAAGTCGCTGGAGTATATATGTAACAATAGCCAAAAAATACATTGTATGGGTCAAAATTATTGTTTTTTCTTTTATGCCAAAAATCATTAGGACATTAAGTAAAGATCATGTCCATTGAAGATATTTTGTAAATTTCCTACTGTAAATATATCAAAACTTAATTTTTGATTACTAATATGCATTGCTAAGACAATAATTTGGACAACTTTAAAGGCGATTTGATCAATATTTAGATTTTTGTTTAGTTGTATCTCAGTCAAATGTTGTCCTATAATAATAAACCATACATCTATGGAAAGCTTATTTATTCAGCTTTCAGATAAATCTTGACCCTTATGACTGGTTTTGTGGTCCAGGGTCACAAATGACTTGTGGATGACAAGTGGACAGAAATTGAAAAACGCTTCCCTCCAGGCCTCTAGGGGACGCACGGCGGTAAAGCTCTTGTTCAGAGTGACTTTTGTGCGGTGAAGAAACGGTCAGCGCATCCGCCAACGCGGAGTAAGAGGTTAGCTTCTTTGGTCGAGACTGGCTAGACTTCAGCAGAGTCAATAATTACAAATAACAGCATTTGACTATCAGGGAATATATCCAAAGAGCAAATCATTACATATAAGCGATTTAATCATCTATTTTGCCGACGGGAACCTTTTATTTTCCTGCTTCCTGCACCGGTTGAAATTAGCATTAGCAGCTAACAATCATCTGAAGCAAAGCGTTTATTTCCCTCTGCACGAAATTTACGTGTCTCGGAAAACTCTATATGCTGGTGTTACATTTTAAAACATCTATATTTTTGTAGTCCGTCCCTTGAAATTGCGGTTGACTGAGAAAGCTATTTATAAGGTAAAGCGCGTGTTAACTGGAGTTTCTGCTTCAGATCAAAACGCCAGAATGTCTGATTTTGATGAATTTGAGAGACAGCTTTCTGAAAACAAACAAGGTGAGTATAAATGTTCATTATTGACTGGCCTGAACAGTAATCACTTGCATAACATCGTAATAACTAAACATGGTGTCTTGCCAGTATAAATAGTCATATTGATGCACGGCAATGAAACTCATTCTACACTTATTGTAAGTATATTGTTGTCTTGTGCTTAACCTATAAAGAAAAGAGATCTAAAAAGCTGTAAATATGCATAAACATTTGAGAGTTGTTAATAGCTGATATTTACTGTGTGGATACTTGTTATTTTATTTAAATAATGCACAGTTGTTTGTAGGGATGTAACGATTCACTCAACTCACGAATCGATTCACGATTTTATTTTGAACAAAATGAGATTTAAGACAAATTATAAATTAAATGTGCCCTTTTATTATTGCTTGGACAAAATGCTGCACATTTCTTTGTGAAATTGAAATGTAACACTATAATAATATACTAATATAGCACTTGCATATTATAGCTCTTTTGTTGGTTTTGATTGCTTCCATTGTCCTCATTTGTAAGTCGCTTTGGATAAAGGTGTCTGCTAAATTACAAAATTTAAATATAATGTAAATAACAAAACTAAATTGAAATTTTAAAACAAGCCCCAAATCAAATAAATAAGTAACACAAATAAAATAAATCTCTTCATATAAACAAACTACGGCTTTGTCTGTGCTCTTTCCATTTCAAATTAGAGGCAACCACTGCATTTTAATCATGATCCAAACAAAGATGCTGCATACATGCAACATGAGCAGTTTTTTAATCTAAATTTCATTGTATAATTTCGAAATCTGAAGCAAAAACAGAATGGTTTGACTTCCGTTTTTGTGAAACTATACATAAAAATATCTGCACGAAACCGAAACAGCAGACGAGCTGAACTAGACGCAGACTCTCTCTCTGCCAGCAGGTGGCGCTTAAAGCGTTTCCTTGCTTTCCGCTGTAAACACAGCAGCGCTGAACTTATGAACTTTAATATGCATTATACAGAGGCAAGATGAAAAGAAAAAATACCATCTAAACTTTTCTAAAGACAGTAAGTTCCCCTCAGACATGCATTCATATAAACTCCTGCCCCTAATTGAATCGCTATTTGTTTAGCATCTCAACCGATTTGAATCGTCACATATTTGAATCGATTTTCAACCGGCTCGCGGTTAATCGTTACTTCCCTAGTTGTTTGGATATAAAGGTGTCAACAACAGCTTAATGTACTTATAAACAATCTTATATTGTTATAATGTTTTGTAGTCCCAATTGAATTTTTAAAAACATACATTTACAATAAGTGCTGAGAGGGATTTATATGTGAAACTTCAGCTCATGTGACTTTTTGTGATAACTGTCCTAGAAATTACATGTCATTTAAAACTTTGTCTTTTTGTAACTTTAGGCTTGTAAATTTAGTATTGTTGTCAGATCACCTGTCATTAGTAACACATTTTGTATTCTGTTTGTAGGACTTAAGACGTTTGCTATAAGTTGCAATAACTTCCTCTTTCCCTCCAGTTCACAGCATTTATTCTGTTGTTTTCCTGTTTATTATTGTGAATCTGCTTTGAAACAATCTGTATTGTATAAATTAAAATTGATTTAACCTCTCTCGTTCTCTTCCGTACAGGTGACAGTCTAAACGGTCATGGTGGGTATCCCAGAATGAGGCGCAGAAAAGCATGCACAACCTGTCTTCTTCCTTTCTGTCTAATCTTCCTTTTTTCCGTCAGATACTCACTGTGAAAACTGAAAAGCTGCATAATATCTCACTACTTTCTTTAATTCTGCAGCTGGATTGGCCTGCTTTTTCTTTTTCCTTTTCTTTCCTTTCTCCTGTTTGCTTCAGGAACCTGCAGCTTTGTCTCATGTTTTTGCATGCTCATGTTTTGCATGTTTGTCTTCATTCTGTCTCAGAGCGGGACAAAGAGAACCGTCACCGGCGACGCAGCCCATCACGCAGCCGCAGTCGAGAGAGGAAAAGGAGAAGCAGAGAGAGGAGAAGTAGGGAACGCCGCAGTGACAGCAAGGACCGCCGCCATAGACGCAGGTTAGAGTTGTTGTCATGTTTTATAAGGCTCATTAATAAGGATGGTCCAGCACATATAAACCTTTAAGCCTGTTGATGTAAATACATATTTAAACATCTGGTTTTTTGCAAGTTATTGAAGCCTTGTAAGCTGAATAAAATCTTATTGTTGAGCCCTGTTTAGGCCTGCACGATTAATCAAATGCGATTGTCATGCGCATTTTGTTAAAAAAAGCCGGTTCTGTAATCAGCAGGAAATCGTCATCACGTGCTTTCAGATTGAGCAGAATTTACTACACATAGCCGTAGTTCACTGACAAGTTACGCAAAAAAATCGCAGACAATTTTATTGCGCGATTATGAAATCGAAGTGATCATTCGCGATAATGACAGCTGTTTGCATAGCTTCTCAGTGAACTACCGTTCTGTGAAGTAAATGCTGCTCCATCTGAAAGCATGTGAAAATACCACATTTAATAACATATTTTTACTCCAAACTCACTTCATAACGTCATTCGAGTGTTTGAAATAAATCCTTCTGTGAGATGATGTGGCTTCTTACACAGAATAAGGCACGCAACATATTTCATAGTATTTAAGCAGTGATAAAGGCATTGCATTAAAAATATACTTTATTTTAATGAAAATTATAATAGTAAATACTCAGATAAACCGTATATTGCCGTAGTCGTGTGTTTATTAGTCACGTTGAATCAATGAAAGCAGTTTAATCTTCTGTTTATTCAGCTGCAGTGATAGGCATTTTCTGGGTTTCTTCTGCGAGGCGTATTTGGAGTTTCAGCGCGAGAGCGCCCTCTGGCCTTTGGATGGAGATTTACTGCTGATCACAGAACCGTGCTTCACAGAAAGATACGCATGACAATCTCAGCTTCTGTCGAATCGCAATCTCGATTCCATTTCGATTTATCGTGCAGCCCTAGCCCTGTTGTAATAGATGCTGTTATTACAATATGAGTCACTTGATGCTCTGAATGTAAAACTGAAGTAGCGCACAGTAATCAAGAATAAGGCAAGTTAACCAGTTAAATAATTAGTCCAGCTCTTAAACCTCATCCAGTTGTTTATGTATGTGGTTTAAGCTACTGCAAAGTAGCTACATGTCAAACCCTGTTCTTAAATGTCATTTCAGTGATCATACTCCAAACCATCCCCAAGAAAATGTCAGGTAATACTGCAGATGGGCTGACCCTGTTTTGCCATTTAGTTTTTTTTTTTTACATCTTACAAATTCAAGTGTTGTGATTTTTTGAAGGCATTTGTCAGATGAATTACTACTCTAAAGGAATAGTTCACCCAAAAATGAATATATGATAAAAACAAAAACCCTCAGGACATGTAGGACAAGATGTAGATGAGTTTGTTTCATCATCAAAACAGATTTAGAAAAAAGTGTTATAGCATTACTTGCTGACCAGTGGATCCTCTGCAGTGAATGGGTGTGCCATCAGAATGAGAGTCCAAACAGCTGATTAAAAATATCACAATAATCCACACAACTCTATTCCATCAATTAAAGTCCTGTGAAGTGAAAAGCATTGCTTCAGGCTAAAATATGAGTCCTCTATTTCTCCTGTGAAAATGTCTTCTCGTCTGAGTCATGAGAAAATAGTCCAAAACAAATTAGAGATGCACCGATTGACCGGCCAGTGATCGGAATCGGCCGATTTTTCACCTGATCGGCCTGGATCGGTGACCGGCCGGTCAGTCTCACGTCTTGCAGATTCTGAGCCGCTCCTTTATTGCCAGCAGTGCCGGCAATGACCCTTACAGTCGCGTGTAAACATGTCGTTTCACGTGAGAATGATTCAAATTTGAATTGCATTCAGTGTAAATGGCGACTGATAATGTATTTATGTCATGCCAGATGAGGCTTGCACAGCTTGAGTGAGTGTGTGAGAGAGA